CGGGGAGTGAAGAAGTTCTTAATGAAAAGTTCGCTGGACGAGATTGACACGGTCGAGCCACTGAGGAGGGCCCTTCGGCAACCCATGCAGTGCTCTATTCTGGAGTACCTGGCGGCATCGAAGCCGGCTCGTGATGAGTTACAGATGATCACGCGGAAGACTCGCATACCTCTATCGGAGGAGGGTCAGGGGGCCCCTAAGGCGGAAGCTTCTACAGTAGCAGTAACGGGGGTGACTGCCAGAGCGGATCGCATGGCGATAGTCCTTCTCGATGGAATGGAAGGTGTGTCTCCAGACAAGTTTTATATACTTTGTAGCGGGGCCGCGGAGACGATTATAAACGATGGAGCGGTACTCGATGCTGTGATCGATAACGGCAGTGAGGCTGTCATCATAGACAAGGACCTGGCAGTACAGTTTGGACTGGGCCTCGATAGGTCATACCTATTCGAGATAGAGACGGTTGATGGGAGAAAGCAACAAATCACTGGGGTTTATCACAAGGCAGCCATAGAGGTCCAAGGGGTACGAGTGACCCTACCTGTCTTTGCAGTCAAGAACTGGAGCTCCGACCTGCTCTTGGGTCGAACGTGGCTGAGCCACGTGCATGCAGTGACGATAGAGCGACCTGATGGGAGCGAAACATTGTCCATTAAGAAGCCAGACGGGACGCGGGTTATGATTGAGACAGTGGAGCCTCGGAACCCGAGGAACAGAGCAGCTCTCGCTGTGGGTGCGAGACCCAGTGATCAGATTAAGTCGTTACCTATCTCCGGCCGCGCGGTGCGATTTCGCGAGAAGAAATATGGACCACTGCTCACAGAGGAAGAAGGTCGGATCGTGGAGGTGGAAGATTTAGGGAGTCGGCTAATAGTGGACGGCAACTCGTACCCAAGGGAAAAAGATGAGGAATTTGGCGGTGTGGTATCCGTGTCTTTTTTAAGGGCACGGCCCCCTATGGGGGGCTACCCAAGCGACACAAGCGAGTAGCTCAAAAAGTTAAGCCAGCGGCGGTGGGCCGCGAGCGATCTGCACAGGAAGGGATATCGGAAGAAGAGATCGCGAAAGAAATCAAAGAAAGAAAGAGAAAGGGGCCACAACGCCTAACGGAAGACAGGATAGCAGGGATGGACATCGGAGATGGGAATTTGACCCCACAGGAGCGAGAACGTGTGATAGAAATCCTGAAGACATGTGATAAGGCTATAGCTTTTAGTGACGTGGAGCGCGGTAGGGTTGACCCTCGATACGCTAAGCCAGCAAGGATTTACGCGATACCACATGTTCCCTGGAATGACGCAGGATGGAAATACGCCCAGAAGGAGAAGGAAGAAGTTATCGCTTTCCTGAAAGAAAAGATGGTTTCCCACGTTGCGGAGCCGTCTGATAGCGCTTATGCTAATCGATGGTTCTTCCTACGAAAGTCGAATGGCAAGATCCGATGGATCCAGGACCTTCAGAAGGTCAACGCGGTGACGATACGAGACGTGGGCTCCGTGCCACACGCCGATTTACTAGCAGAAGGTGCCGCAGGTTGGTCGATTTATTCGGTCTGTGATCTGTTCTCAGGTTATGATGAGGTACCGCTTGACCCTAGAGACAAGCACCTCACGGCTAGTCATACGCCATTGGGACTGATACAGATGATGGTTGTCCCTATGGGTTGGACTAATGAGGTAGCCATTTTTCAGAGAGCCATGGTAGTCGTCCTCAAAGACTTCATCCCTGATAAGGTTGAAGTTTTTCTGGATGACTTTCTTATAAAAGGACCAATAAACAGGGATGAGGCAGAGGTTGCACCTGGAGTTAGAAGATTCGTCGAGCAGCACCTAACGGATATTTGCGCAGTACTCGAGCAGCTGGACGATGCGAATGTAACAGTCAGCGGAACAAAGAGTCGATGGGCCGTCTCGACTATTAAGATCTTGGGCTTTATCTGTGACTCGAGGGGACGCCGAGCAGATCCGACGAAGTTAGACAAACTCCTGAGCTGGCCGTCACCATTACATAGTCCAACCGAGGTCCGACAGTTTCTGGGAGTGGTCGGTTACTGGCGAATATTCATACGAGGGTATGCAGAGAAGGCTGAGCCATTGAGACTACTCCTTCGAAAAACTGAGAAATTCTACTGGGATTCCTCGCAGGAACTCGCTATGCAAGAGCTTAAAGATGAATTTAAGGAGGGAGGACGCGTACTAGGCCTGTCTCTTATA